CTTCAAAAGCCACTGTGACTGGAGGCTGTCAGCACCTCCTGCCTTCACACGCATCCTGGGGAAGGAAGGGCAGAGGCTGTGGCATCCCTGGCCCTCCCTGCTCAGGAGGGCAGAGCCTTGCTGCCCTGTATGTGGTTATGCTGCTCACATGGGCACATTCTGCACGTCTCACCTGCATCTGCTTTCCTTGTAGCACGAGTTGGCCCCTCGGTGCCTCGACAAGACAGACCAGTGCGAGAGGGCACGAGAGTTGCCTCCATTGAAACTGGACTCGCCGCTGCTGCTGCCAAGTTGTCACAGCAGGTGAGGTTGCTTGAGAAGTAGTAGCTGTCAGGAAATGAAAGCCCTCTCCCCCAGCAGCAGAGTCATGCCCAAATAGCAGTGCAGTGCCAGTCCTCCTCAGTGTTTATTCATGCCAGTGACACAAGGCTCAGAAGTCTCAGGGGAAATAAATGGGATGAAAGTCCAATAGCGTCGCAACATATCCGACAATGCTGCAGCGCAGAGCAGGAGATGTGTCAGAAGTGTAAAGAAGTGTGAGCAAGGGAGCATAGCTACCAGGCTAAGACAGGAGGAGGCTGCCCGAAAGGAGTGTGCGTGAACCACATATTGATGTGTATTTGAGAGTCTGACTGGTGTGATTGCCTTGTCCATGGAAATTGGCTGCTGGGAAGCATAAGGATTTACTTCCAAAGATTTGGTGAACTGTGGGTAACTATGGGTCAGTTTAGCAAAGATATTGAGGCGATTTGGGTGTTGATAAGTGTCCAGTCTCTGAAGAGGTCAGATAGATGCTAAGCACCTAACGCCCCACAAATGTGACACTGAGGCGTGAAGGTGACAAGGTCTGCTGGAGCAAGGTTGGTGAGACACCTTGGCAAGTTGATGGAGATGCAGGTTTTGGTGGCATTGGGCTTCTGTGACGCGTATGGTTGAGTAGAAGAGCTCTAGAATGGTAGCAGGGTTTCATCAAGAAGCGGACTGAAGGCAGGCAAGGGAAGCAGGATGGTGGCAGTTCTCATGGTATGTATGTGTAAGTGCAGTTACAGGTCGAGAGATAATGTCTGTCCTAGCAGGAAGCAGAGTCTGTGAATCAGTGGGATGTTTAATATCGTCCATGCTATTGTGAAAGTGTATGAAGATACCTGAAGATAGGAGGTGCCAGTTTTTGTGGAACATCGAAAGGTTTGTTCATGCAAAACCACGCTGGTCTCCCAAGGCAGGGTCATTTTGGTCCTGGCTGGCTCCCACTCGCCGCAGTGTACGCAGAGTTAACAAACAAGGAGGCTCTGCGCAAAGCACCTACATAGATGCAAGAAAGGCAAGCATGTGCATGCAGCAGAGCGAGCTGTGAGCGAGATGGTATCGGAACAGACCCTGAGCAGTTTGTACATGGCAAACTTCATGGGTTTTCGTTGTATCAGGACCCTAAGCAACGCCGCTGGCCCTTGCCGTAGCTAAAGGTCTTCTGGGGATTAATCTGAGCTTCATGTTTGTCATTTTAAAGGAGGAACAAAAAGGCAAGAAGAAAAAAAATACCAAAAAGAAGCTGTCAACCAACAACGCGAACAAACCGGCTCAGGAAGGCAGCTCGCCAGAGCCGAAGCTGGAGTCACATGCCAGCAGCCTCACAGATCACGAGTACACCGCAGGGGCCAGCACCTTTGGGGTCGCCCAGCCTAACAGGGGATCGCAGCCGATGGCACCTGGTGTTTTCCTCACACAGAGGAGACCCTCATCATCCTCGCAGAACAATGCCTCCGCCAAAGGTACCAGGAAACGTCTGGGGTTATGGTGTAGGAATGGGGAAGGGTGAATTGGTCATGTAATCCATGCCTTTTGCAGGGACCTCACATGATGTGTCTGTCATGTAGAAGTGCTTCAGCAGGTCAGGTCTGGTCAGAGATAGGGCCCATGGCCTTGGCTGTCCTGGCACTGTGGGCCCAAATATGCGTTTTGCTGCTGGGCTGTTTGTTGCAGGGTGTGAGGCATCCCATGCTAGGAAGTGCTCCTGAGCATGCCCCGAGGCTCCTGAGGAACACCTGCAGTGGTCACGTCACGGTCCAGCCTGTCTGGTGAAGCCTTCTCCAGGGGAAGATGCATCCATGAAGGCTGTTCTGCCCAGGGCTAGGTCAGGCACCACTGTGGTTGGCTGGTGTTTGTACACCGGTACGTGTGCTGACATGTCCATGAGGACATCCTACCCAGTGGGTGTAGAGCAGTGCAAATCTGCAAACCTGTCTTGAGAGTTGCCACAAGGGAGCAGAGGAATATCAAACCTTGGGAGTAACACAGCTACACAACCAAAGCCAAGAGAGAGGAAGAGGTCGCTTCTGCTTGAACTTTTCTAAGAAAGCGTGACAGAGGCAGGGGCGCGGGGCAGGCACTGTGTAGTGTGAAGATTAAGTGTGCGATCCCACTGGGAGAGGCCCTGATGTAAAAAGTCAGGCAATGTGGTAGATGTTCCCTGCATTCCTGTATATTTGAGTGGAGCAAATTAGAGGTAGTGCACGGTGTCCTGCCAAAGAGTAAAACATGAGAGCAGCTTGAATGGGCCATACAGAAGGACGTGCATAGCCTGTCGTAGGTGCTAGGGTCCTGCTAGGAGCTGGTAATACCTGTGGCTGTCAGCAGAACTGGAGTGGAATGAACGTATTTGCCTGGAATTGTGTCTTTGTGGTGAAATGGTGGCATTAGTGAAACAGGTCCAAGCCAGTGGAAGATGTGATGGGAAGAGGAGTGCTGAATGGAGCTGAACCCCAGTCTGGCCAGTGGGCTGGGTGACCCAGTCAGGGCATTGTGAAGGGAGCCTGACCAGGCACATGGATCACACCTTGCCCGTTGTGTAGCTCAGTCCTCAAAGGAGGGAAGGAGCCGTGTGCCAAGAAAGCGAGTGGCTGACCTCACAGGGAGCAGAGCACTTTCAGGGCCTCCTGTGCAGGGTCTTGGGACAGCTGGGGGCACTAAGGGAACTTCAAGGCATCTCTCTGCATGGAGCACAGGAGATTCCTGAGCCTGGGGACTGCCAGATTAGGCATCACTGGGAATGAAGGGACTGTGAAAGGAGATGGTGGGATGAAGCAGAATTAGGGAGCTCTAGGACCTCCTCAGGGAAGGTCTCTCAGTCTTAAAGAGTGAGGCAAAAGGATGAGAAATGAGGAAACTTCCCATGGAAAGTGTCATCCACACTGTCATGGTCTTTAAGGCTGGGGCACTTAATGCAGATGGGAAGAGTAGAGAGGAGCTGAGTCTCTGCAGGTGTCGCACAAGAGTGCACCAATGGTGGCATGATGGGAAGAGAAAAGGCTGCGTGGGTTTGTGTTGTGCATGGCAGTCCCAGGTGCCTTGGCGACCGTAAGGCGGTAGCTGGCAAGCGGTGGGGCAGCGAGCAGCTGTGGTAGCTGCACCAGTCCCTGCGGAGCAGTACACAGGGAGCACAGACCTCACTGAACCGCACAGCTCATCAGTATGGGGACAGGGAACATTGTCCACTTTGGGTGTGTTGTAGTGCCTTGGTGCTAACCTGAATCTATAGGAAGGAAGGAGTGTGTGTCTGTGTGTGTGTGTGTGTGTGCATGCACGTGTGTGTGCACGCACGTCTTTTCAGTGTCCTGGCAAGGCTGGATGCAGGTGGTCTCTCTAGTGCTAGGGGAAGAGATGGCAAGAAATGTGGAGCTGTGGTAGTACGTGGGTTGTCTCCATGCAGTGGGCAAGGGACCAGGCATCCTCGGGGCAGTGCTTGGCCCAGGACTCATGGTGGCATGCGAGCTCAGCATCCCTGTGCTGCAGGTTTCCCTTGGAGGATGGCAAAGAGGTGCCCAGAGATCCCTTGGGAGTGTGTGGGTGCGTGGTGAAAGCAGGCACTACAACAGGCTGCCGGGTGCGAGGAGCTGTGGGTTGCCTGTGCAGACTCTCCCATGAGGCACTGAGGAACGGGATAGTGCTGGCATGGCTGGGTTCGACCTGTCACCCTGTGGGCAAATAGGTCACCCATGAGTGGCGAGCCAGGCCGGGTGAGGGCACAGGGCAGCAGGGCTGGCACTGTGGAAGCAGGAGGAGCCCCAGCAGAGCAGGGATGAGATAAGCCTGCACCCTGAGCGGGGTGTGCGCAAAAGGACGTGTCCTTGGGCGCAGGTAAGGAGCATGCCCCAGCCGCGGTGGTGCTGGGTCGGCAGAGGCCGTGCACCACCGCCCCGATGGCTTGAGGGGCGGTGGTGGCCGTGGAGGTGCTGGGCAGGGGGCTGGGCTGGCTGCGGGGTAGCCCGGCGGGGCTCCGGAGGAAGGAGGCGGCCGGTGCGGGGCCGGAGGGGTTGTTTCTGTGGGGTGGTGTGGGGCGGGAGCGGGCCCTCACCCCGCTCCCCCGCTCTCCTTCCAGGAAAGCGCACGAAGAAGGGGATGGCCACGGCCAAGCAGCGGCTCGGCAAGATCCTGAAGATCCACCGGAACGGGAAGCTGCTGCTCTAGCGGCGGGGTGGGCGGGCAGCCCGGCGGCGCCGCGCTCGAGGACGCTGCCGCTTGACTCTTCGCCACCACGACAATAATCCCTTTAACTTTCAGCGGTCGGAGTGTACAGAATCCTGCTATAAATATTTTTTA